GTGGAGCCTGTCCTATTGGACGACTACATGTTTCTCAAAAAATAAAAATATTGACACCAATGGGGGCGTCCAGAGGGGAGCAACTAATTGAGGACCGCTCGTTCGGGAACCTTTTCAAGGATCATTTGGAATGGGCTGAGAGCACGCCATGTGTCGCGCTCTGGGTCTCCTTCCGGATTTTGTTTTTATTTTTACTTTTTTGCATGTATTTTCGGCTTTTCAGATTTTTCTCTCTCTCATTTTTTCAGCTTTTCATCGGCCTTTCTTAGCTTTTCGACAAAAAAAATTCAAAAAGTTTTTTCTCATGAAAAAACACGTTTTTTTGCTTTCACGAGAGGCACGATTTTGCTTCTACGGGAGGCACGGTCGTGCCTCTTGGAAATTAAAAAAACGTGTTTACTCTTTTTTCCCCTTCATGAGAGACATGGTTTTACTTCCGCGAGAGGCATGATTTTGCTTCCGTGACTGTGCCTCTCGAAACAAAAAAATCATGTTTTTTTCCTTCCGCGAAAGACACGGTATCACTTACATGAGAAGCACGGATTTGCTTCCGCAAGAGCCACAAGTGTGCCTTTCGGAAACGGTTTTCAGAAAGGGAAAAAACATGCTCCCGTGTGGTTTTTTGTCTGGTTTTTTCGTGAAAAAAAGTTTGTGAAAACCTACCAACAAGCGATTTAGTTTTGAAGATCTCGACGTGAGGAATCCAAGATGAAAACGGATCAAGATTTGAACGCGGTTTAAAGAGATAAAACATAATTTGAATAAACGGATTTACGAAAAAAAGGAAAAACTCGCAGGACTCCTATTTCGGTTCAAAAGAGGTCTCCGCGCCGAATAGGAGCACTCCTGATTTCGTGGTAATTGGGCCGGGCCCAACGTGCGCGGAAATACGCAGTTCGCCAGGGTCACGGGCGTAAATACGACCCGTTTCCTCTCCAAGTTTAGCCACCGCAATCGCATCGTCCTAGGGTTTAAGCAGCAGCAGCAGCCCCGCCGCATCCAGATCCCCAACCCAAACCCTCGAACCCGGAGAACTCGCCGCCGACGACAGCCAAGATGTTTCTAGGCGCGATGCCCCGGAAGCCGAGCAAGGAGGCGGCGTACAAGGAGCTGCGCTTGCATCTCAGCATCATGGCGGGCTGCATCGCCGTCATCCGCGCCGCCCCCTACATCCTCCACTACCTCACCCGCGAGCCCGGCATGACGGAGCTCAAGCTCGAGCTCTAGGTGATTCCTCCCGCCCACGCTCTTCCTTCTCTAGGGTTTGGTCGATTTGGGTGCGTTGCGCGTGTGATCCGTTTTCGGATCGTCGTGCGGCCGCTCGGTTTGGTACGGTATCATAGGGTTTCGTAGCCGTAGATCGGATTCTAATGAGTGTCCTTATTACTAGGGTTGCTAAAGCTTGTAATTCTATTCTTTCGTGTGTAAAGCAGGCGATCTGTTGGTTTTTTAATGATCTTTTAGTTTGGTAATGCTGATTTGCAAACTGAGAAATTATTGAACCTAACTAATGACCTTCAACGAGTAGATAGAAAGGAAAAGTTATGTTTCATGACAACTTTGTAAAGATTATACTCCCTACGATCCATATTACTTGTGAAGTTGTACTAACCTTGTACTGAACCAGCGACAAGTAATATGGATCGAAGGGAGTAGCATGTTTTAAAGAGTCCAACTAGCTTTTAGATAGGTTGTGATATTGAATTTGTTTAGCTGATTTGCCGTTCTCAAACTATGTTATAATCCCTTGTTTTAGCAGTATCATTATGGTGATTGGAAGATCGATTTATTGGTTCATAACCCTTTTTTAATAAATGCAGTAAGATTGAGTATTTTATCTGTTTTGATCACAGTTGCACCTCTTGCTGTTATTTGTTATCTTGTTTAATTTTGGCCAATGAATCAAGAAGTATTAATGTATTGATGGTACTTGGCTCCTTTCTGAGAACAATGATAACTGTATTTTATGGCTTCATTGATGCAGTATCCAGTATGTTCTGAATATAAATTTTCCTTTTTAGCATTATCTATTAGATTGTTCTATATTTACATACTACCTCCATCTCGGTGAACAAGTCATTCGCGTAGTTCTAGGTCGACAATTTAACTATCTAAATATGTATTATATGTGACAAAAAATATATATTTAGAAACTACATCCGTGTAGAAATCTAATAATATACTTTTCATGACATATAACACATATTTAATTCCTTAAATCGATGACCTAGAACTACACGAATGACTTATTCACCGAGACGGAGGTAGTACAATTCTTGTAGAATTGACTTTGTGGTACATAAGCAAAGTCTTCCGTAATGTTTGTTATTTATTGACATTGCTTCTGAAGAAGGAATGGTAGAATCTTGTCAGTTATGCTTGTGCATTTTTTGTGCTGTTTATAGAATAATAGTCGTAATGTTTTCTTAAGACTGTCGTTAGCTATCTTTTAATTGACCATTGCAGTTAGGATTATCCATTATATATATTTCGAATGATCCCATTAACCAGATCATTATAATACTGGCAACACAACAGCTGCAAAAACTGTACTGGATTTAAGTTGGGAAGAAGCTAACTATTGTCTGCTTTAGAAAGAACTAAAAATTGTATTTGAGGTTGGTCTTGATCAGTCATATACTCATATGTTGACTGGACATTCTGAGTTGTAGAAACAGACCTAGTCATTATGCCCAATTCATTTTGGACCCGGATAAGTGCCACATATGTGGCACGGACACATGGCAACTCTGAATGTTTTTGATGGCAAGTTTAGTGACGGGAGGATGACAACTTCATCAGTTGTAAAGCATGGCAACTTTCTTTTCGGATGGCAAGTTTCAGTTTATATTTTGGATTTGTTTTTTCTTTTGAATGGCAACTTTAGTTGTAAAAAACATCAGGGCAGGAGTGGTCCGTGCCACACATGTGGCACTTATCATTGGGTTCATTTTAAGTGCAAGGTTTAATTGAATTGAATTGTCTTGGTTCCTGCCCATTAGTCATAATCTGATGAGAACGTGGTTTTGCCTGAGACCCCACACCACTAGCCATCTTTTTCCTTCCCCTGTGATCTTCTGTTGTTTAAATTGCTGAGACTTCGTTGTTTTCTCATTATTATTCAATGCTAGGAAGTTATGTGGACAAACGCAAACTACTCAGTTCTGTCACTGTTTTGAGTTTTAATATCCTTTATCTCCTGATAAGTTATTGGTAATAGCAGTTGGTTGCACCACAAGATTTTGTTCTGGACTTTCTATAGTTGCATTAACGTATTTGAATTGTTATTTTTGTTTGATACCGATTGCAATAAGCCAGATGCTGACTATGTGTTTTATCCTTGTTATTAGGTGCGACTGGGATGGTGAAGTTACTCTCAGGAGCAGACTTTGAAGTACCTTGTCAAACATGAAATTAGTTTTCCTTGTTAGTATTTCGTCTTTCTATAGTGTGAGAATTCAATGACAGTGTTCGCATAAACTCTGTTGGTTGTGGTTACCACTGCCACTGCCCCAGCAACTTTGTGGGTTTTTAACAATCAGTGATGCGTGCCTCATATATTTCATTATTGCTGGGATGTGATTTGTCGTTGCTATACTGAATGTGTTTCGGTTGTTCCCTCTTGCCACTAGCATAGACCTGTCTTTTATGCAATTCAGATACTAGTAGAAGCAGCATCTTTGCGAACCATGCGAATTTGTAGTCCGTGGAGCAAATTGCGCCTTGGATAAGAAAACAACGATAAGGGCATGTAGAAACTCTGAGATATATCCTGATCGGAACTCGAAAGCTCAGACGGATCCTGGATCTTGGAAAACCTGTTGTTCCACATGCCATATGATGGTGATAAGCTCAAATGAAATGGGTAAAGAGCTGGGGGAGCAATACACTGAAATAACAGGGTTGCCTCATTACCCCAAACCAAACTTGAAAAAAATCACCCATCCCGCTGTCTGGGTTTGATGTCGAGCTCGCTGTTTTTTAGGACCATGAGCTGATTCCTTCTTCTTCGGTGACCTAGCCAGGCCGGGCAGTCGAAGATCGCTGTGCTAGATCACCACTGACTTTGAGCACCACCTGACGAAGACCGTCACTCCTGCACACATCTCCTTTGCCATCCCACCCACCACAGCCCTACACACACAGGCTGCCCTCTTACGTACCGTTTCCCCCTTTTTTTGGTATCGATCAACTCTTGGATAAACCTGAGATTGTTTGAAATATATATATTCTAAATAGTGGATTCCATATGCTGTTTCTGAGATGTACTTCCTGTAAATACAGCTGTTTTGCGGTAAATGGCGCAATACATTTTGCAGCCCAGCTGATTTAACTTCACTGAGGGTGTTACTGACTTGTTCATTTTGTGAGAAAGGGCAATGCATTTCTGCTCATTAGAAATATGTATGCCACCGGATAAAACGAGAAAAACAAAATGAGAGAGATGTCATTTTCACAACATGGTTGCTTTTCCTGGCTATACGGTTCAGTGATGCACAAGGCTTGCATGGTGAAACTTCAGGAACACAGCAAGTCCAACATGTTCCCCAATTGAACTTCTCCATCAGAGAGCTCATGTTCAACGAAGTTACTTGCTAAGCAAAAATGTGGCCATGCTTGTCTCCAAGCATTATTGGCAGCAATTCTACTGGTCCTCTGTATGTGTCTAGTCAATTTCACATGTGCGTCCTTTGTAATGATGCGACGACAAAGGCGATCTTGTTGTCACATCAAAGGTATCCAGTACCTAACTACCCAATCCATACAATCCAAGTGGCTGGTCTTGAGCATTCCACTTGTCCTTTTCTCTACTGCTATGTTGAAACTTTGCACCAGAATTGCTGACCAGGAAAACGTGATGACCAGAAGCATCTCAAAATCTAATCAATTTGGTTTCTGCGAAGAAACGTCGAACTTTTGGAGTAGATCGCTATATAAAAAGTCCCCTTTTGTAATCTTCTCCCCGTAAGATAGTCGGAAAGGAAGGGCTCGGCCAACACATGGGCAACTGCAGCAGCTTCAGTCTTCCAAAATGGTATATTATCTGTTTGCAAAAAATAGTTATGCAGTCTTATTAAAAGTTGCTTTCCATATGATTGATTTGTTTTTGAGCAATTCCATATGATTGATGTATATACTAATGGGATCGCAGGATATTCGGTGATCTGCACAACAATGGCATGGTTTCCATTGAAGGGGATGGAACTCATGAAGGCATAAAGACGATCCGGATTCAGAAAGCTTGCGAGTTCACAGCCAGCTCCGTGCTTTGTGTCTGCATTATCACATGGAACATGAATGGCAAGGTGCATCATATACTCATATTCTTGGCTGCGTTCTTCTTGATGGTGGTTGAGCCATTTCCTTTGGTTTAATATCTGTTCTTTCGCGAAGATGTCTGTGGAGGACATAAGAAAGCTGGTGAGCTCCACCAGGAAGTTCGACTTGCTGGTTGTGGGGCTGCAAGAAGTCCCGAAATGTGGCGTCGAACAAGTTCTGCAAGAAGCCATGGCTGATACACACATGTGAGGGACCTTCAACGTTAACCTTTTTTTTTATGAACACTTTGAAGGTTTTCACCTTATTCTGAAATACAGCAATGGTTGTCAAAATTTCAGCTTGTTATGCCAGAAGGCCATGCAGTCTATTCAGATGTTTCTTTTCGGGGCAAAGAGTTCGGAAGCGTACATCAAAGGTGATCATGTTATTATATAGCTGAATATTCTTGGTGTTGAAAGAGCACTTCTAATCTGATCAAATAAGTCCTGTTTAAATACCTGAATTTGGTCAGAAATGAAGGTGGATGAACACGCAGTCGGAGGCTGCGGTGGCGTAATTGGGAGGAAGAAAGGAGCTGTGGCCATGTACGTAAACTTTAGTGGGATCCGGATGGTGTTTGTGTCCTGCCATCTTGCAGGTTGATTTCCAACTTCTGGCCAATCCATTTCTTATTGTTGGGTCTTATTACCTCAGTGCTAATACCGGAAGCAACATTAATTTAATTCAATAGTAACTGTTGTCTTTCAAATGTTATTACGAATAAGTAACAAGGTAACTTATTAAAGTGTAGCCCATGAACGCAAGGTGGAGAAGAGGAACTCTGAATGCCGGCATATTTCGCACTCGCTGTTCTCCAAGAATGACATACATTATGCCAAATCTGCCGACATAACAGTGTGGCTCGGTGACTTGAATTACAGATTAGAAGGAATAAGCTCGATGCCAGCAAGGAAAATGATCGAGGAGAATCGCCAGAGTGTAAGTGTATGCTGGACCTATTCAATTTTTACATGACATAAATGCCTGACATATATGCGCTATTTCAGAAGCTAAGAGACAGAGACCAGCTGCTGCAAGAAGCTGAGAAGGGTCAAGTCTTCCATGGGTACTGTGAAGGGACCTTGTCTTTTAAGCCAACATACAAATATAATGTCGGAAGTAGCAACTACGATTCAAGTTACAAGGTACCTTCAGTTAGTATCATATTAAGATGTCAATTTGTCTGAAGGAAATTGTACATATTCTGGAAAAATAATGTCTTATGCATATGCTCTTCACTTCCTCAGATCAGAGTGCCATCTTGGACAGATAGGATATTGTTCAAGGTTGACCATTCTTCTGGCTTGGATGCGGTGTTAAGTTCATATGAAGCACTTGACTGTGTTAGCAGCTCTGATCACAAGCCTGTGAAAGCTCATCTTTGTCTGAAAGTATGTGGTGGTGATTCATAGATTTATGTTACAATTGACAATCACAAGTATATTTAGATGACTTATTTTTTTGTAACAACAATTGTAAAGGCAAATAGCACAGATCATTATCTATCCTCTGAAAATGATTTCGCTAAATGTAATTTGGTAAAGTCAAAATGTCGACCGTATGTTCATGTTGTTGTTGTTGTTGTTGTTGTTGTTGTTGTTGTGTACCCTCTTGATTTTATATGGTGACGTGGATTTTTCGAATTGGTCAGCAGGCTACAAACAACTTCCTGATGTGTTCTTATAGTAAGGAAACAGAAATACCCAGCATATACAGACACCAAACTTTGGTTAATACACACAGTACCATGTCAAATATGGCATTGACATAGCAGAGCAGATTCTTTATCACAGCACATTGTTTCATGGGGTTTAAGGTTCAAACTTTAGGGGACCTCAATATTAGGAATTTTAATTTTCAAGAACAGTATGCGTTTTGATTTCCCAAATTCTAACCAAGGAACACAATTCTTAACTTTCTTGGATTTTTGTATTTCACTACAGATTTTCAGTACAGATTTGCATTTGGAATAAACATCTACTTGTCTAGTATATAAGGGTGTACCAAAACAAAACAATTTCACCTATCTCACAAATTTCATGGTACAGAAACAAGGAAACTCAACGGTTCACACTGACGGTTTGAGTACAGAAACAGATGGTACACACTTTCAGTTAACAAAACTCAGAAAACCAATTCAATGCCATAGATACACATTTCACCACTGAATTAAATTTCTTTCGGGCTTTCAGCTACAAAAGAATGTGTAGTAAAGATGGTACAGAACAAAGAGTTTTACTCAACACACCAATTTCATGGACAAAAACAGGGAAACTTGACAGAACCCTGTTGGTGTGAGAGTTCCTGGCCAACCCCCTCCCTAGTGTACACTTCTAGTTGACAAAACTCACAAAACCAGTTCGACGCCATATACACACTCAGTCTTTTGGATGGAGCAGACAATATAATCATTGTCTTCTTTAATTTTTTTGCCACATGTTCTAGTCAAGCTGCTGCTTCCTGAAGCCTGGATGTTTTCACCGAGGCCTTCCTCTTTTCTCCAATTCGAGACGGTGCTGTGAGACCACTGAATACAGGGAAAGGAAAAGATATCATGATGTGCTAAAATGCAGAAATCAATGTGTAAATTCAGAAATTCAGAAAGGGGAAGGAACTGATTTGGTTTTGCAAACCTTGTTATTTTGGCTGTTCTCGTTGATGCTGCTGCCCTCTGTGATTTCTCTATGGTTTTTCCTTTAGTCAGCGCAGGCCTCACATTGTTGGGCCGGATGTTACACAAAACCGTTTTGGATTCACCAAGCCGATTCGTGGCAGTGTGTGTAATTTGTTTCCTCTGAATTTGCAACATGGACAGATAAGTAAGCAATTCAGCATGTGTGTTTCTAAATTGTACTACCACTAAATTGATTTGGACCGGGAAATGCTCACCTGCTTCTCGCCACAAGTCAGTTTTTCTCTTTCCTTTCCATCAGTGCATCTTCCAGTTTGCTGCATCACATCACAATAGTACATAGAACAATTGAGTAACCAATAGGTGGTAGTCCAAGAAATCAGAAATCTAACGTTGTGCATTCCTGATTCAACTTACCACCAATCGCCTATTTTCATCCTTCAGTGCTGGCATGGCGTTCTTCTCGGCCGCCGTCGGTTTTCTTTCTGGATTTGCATCTTTCAATACCTGTCTCTCCTAAATGCAGCACAAAGAGTAAAGGCCCTTCAGCAAACCGAGTGAAAATCCTTCACAAAAACAAGCAAACGTGGGATGCAATGCAATCATAACTCACATCAGTCCTTAGCCTGAATGGCCTCAGGATGGTATTCTTCTTAAGCTTTCCTCCCTGCTCCGCATTCACTACCTTGTTCTGCCTTTTAAGCACCTGCAATTAGTCATGGCAGCATTTCAGGTTCACCACATCCTACCCACAGCAGCTAAACCATGGCAAACATCATCACTAACGTCAGAGTTTCAGTACCTTTTGAGGAGCATTCTCGCTGTTCTCAGACCGCTTGCTGTTTTCATCTTCTTCTTCCCGACTCAAGGCTTGCTCGGCGAGCTGATCACCGCACGGCGCATTCTCCTTGTCGTCGCCATGAATGTCGGGCCGCAATGGTTCCGCCACCTCAACCCGTGGTCCCTGCAGCACCTCCTTGGGTTCTTGCCCCCAATTGCGCCTTGCAGTTCGTTTACACGAGTTCTCATCCGCGTTGATGTTCTCACGGCCACTTCGGCTCCCTTCATTTATTTCGGCGTTGGCGCATTTCGCCGAACAGCCTAGGATCATCTTTTTCCCGCTCCTTGGCTCCTGCACTCTCTTCACCGCCGCCGTCTCCTCGCACTTCTTGGCGATCTTCAGCGTGGGCAGCTGCGACAGGTACCTGCTAGGCACCTCCCGGCACGCCAGGTTGAGCTTCTTCATCTTGGAGCAGACCTCGGCCACGGGAGGAGCCTGGATCTTCGCCGGCGTCTCCTTCTTGGGCGTGCTCATGAACAGCGCCTTCACCACGGTCCCCCTCATCTCCGCCGCGTCCGTCGCAACCGGCTTCTTCTGGTGCTTCACGCTGAGGAACGGCTCCTGCCTTGGCCGCACGGTCTTGCTCCGGGGCGTGGTCAGAGCCTTCTTCCTCGCGCTGGACGCGTCGACCCTCGCCGCCTTGGTCCGGACCGGGGAATCTCTCAGGCTGCGAATCCGGTGGCCCTGCAGCCCGGCCCTCGCCGCCTTCTCGGCCGCCCCCGTCGCCAGGCTCAGCCTGGTCATCCGGGTCCTCGGCGGCTTCGCCGGCGCCGAGTGGGGGCATTTCGGCAGCGTCGAGCTGCACGGGGTCAACAAATCCGATCTAAATTACAGTGTAATTCAGGCCGGCGGCGGGCGAGAAAGGAAAAAGATTCAGATGAGAGACGCGCACCTCTGGTTTCTCCTGCTGATGGCCTTCTGCAGCCTCACGTTGGGGCTCCTCGCCGCCATGACCTGCGGGGGGAACGGATCACAACTCGGTTCCGTCAGTCCTCGAATTCAGTCGCGCATCAATCAAACACGAGAAGCCGCGAGATTCGATTCGGGAGAGCGATGGATGGATGGATTACCCGCATGACGAAGCTCCGGTGCAGCGCCTCCGGGTCGACGTGCTCGTGCCTCTGGTCGCAGCCTGCATATCATACGCCGCGGTGGCGGATCAGCGGCGAGGCGAATTTGGTGTCTTTGCGTCTCAGATTCGACGGCGAACGCCGGCGATGAGGGGGTTTGCTTGTGGAGGGTTGGAGGATGATTTGATTGCTTACCTACGCGGAGGCAGAACCAGGAGGGGTCGTCGGCGGGGCAGGCGGCGTCGGGCGCGGTGAGGTCGACGAACTTGGGCGCCTCGATGTCCTCGTAGAAGACGCTGTCGTACTCCTCCTCCTCCTCGTTGTCCTGGGCGCCGAGGCTGCGGGGGATCTCCATCTGCGCTTGCTCCGCGTTCCGGCTCGGTGGGATCGGCGATATAGCTAGCTAGCAAGCTCGCGAAAGCGGCGGGCGGCGTCGGAGATGGTGTGCTACGGCGAGGCTGTGGGCTGTGGTGGATGTGGCGAGTTGGGCGATGGATTTTTGAGTCCGATCCGGGAGCGGCTGGGGGGAACTAGCCGTTGGAGCGGCGGCGTTTCCCTTTTTTATTTTTTGAAACCGTGGGCCGTTGGCGACGTGGCAGTAAAAAGAGGTGCTGTAAACTAACACCGGGCGTGAAGGTGAAACCCGGCCGTGCGGAGTAGTGCACGCGCAAAGCTACGGAGTACCAGATTTACCGTGCGGAGTAGTATGAAGCTAGATTACCCAAAGTCCCAAACCGACTATGACATGCGTACACTACACGGACACGCATACGTACACGGGATTAACTCGTAAGGGTGACTCCAATGCATGTCCCAAAACGAACGTCCGTTTCGTTCGGATTTCGTCCGTTTAAGGGTGGCAAACGGTCACGCCTGTCTGCTTGCGGCCGTGCAGTCGTCGGTGCGTCCAACCGGCAGGCTTGTGGGCTCCTGGCAGCTCCCGCAACCCTAACTTCAACTCCATATGTACCTATTCGTCCAGAAAAAATCCAGAGAAAAGGAATCATCATGTTTTACGATACGGAGTCACCACCACCTCATGTTCTTCATCGGGAGGGTTGATCTGGAGTCTGTTCCGGGCTTCGGAGAGAAGGATTCAACGCCGTCGTCATTATCAACTATCCGCCATCACCAATTTCATGACACTACATGAATCAGCTTATTTGCAGTCCGCCATGGCAGACGGTAAAGGCACCAAAAGCGGACGGTAAAGCTCTTTGCCGTCCGCCACCGACGGCAAACTTGCCCAGCAAAGAGAGCGACGGTAAACATGTTCTTTGCCGTATGTTTCCTCAAAGCGCCCTTTACCGTCGGCGGCGGACGGCAAAGAACATTTTTTTCGAGGGTACGCAAATTGCGTACCTTAGCTTTATAGAAGGAGAGAAATGAGACTTACAACAACGTCAACCATTCGTTGCGGAGAACGAAAGTGACCAACTCCACACCCGGTTCGTACAAGGACAACCAAACACAACAACACGGCTACGACACAAGAAGCCTACCCAACACCGAGCCCCTAGCCGCGTCTCGGCCGACACTGAAGACCTCCGAAGAACAGCAACTCCAGCTTCCTTGGAGTAGCCAGCGACGACCGTACATGGCGCCGAAGGAGAAAGATCCGGGTAGCGGTGAACACCAGAGGAGTGCATCATGGGACCTCGAGTCTCCCAGCACAATGCTCCCAACAGAGTAACAACCTCAAAGACGTTGCCATCATGCCGATCCTACGAATCAAGGCTTTCGCCCCGGAGACAGCTGCCGATATGAAGTCGCAAGGAAGATGGCGTAGCACTCGACGAAGCCTCCATGAAGGTGAATGACACCCGCAGGTGCCATCAACGCCGGTCCGGCCACAACCGAACAGGATTT